GGGGAAGGAGTGACCAGGAACAGGGGGGGGGGAACCGGGGGACCACGGTGGGGGAAGCGACGGTAGAAGGAGACAGACTCGTCAAAGGTGACGTCACGAGAGTGAAAGAAGCGGTGAGACGGCGAGTGGTAAAAGTGCCAGTCGGACTCGTCAAGGGGAAAACCGAGGAAGACGCAGGGAAGGGTGCGGGCAGTGAGCTTGTCTGTGCCGGAGGCACGGACGTGAGCAAGGCAGCCCCAGACGTGAAACGCAGACGCGTCACCAGGAGACCCAGTCCAAAGACGGGTCGCCGAAACCTGCGGCTGCTGAGGGTGCGGCCACAAGTTAAGCTGGTGAGAAGCGTAGCGCACAGCGAACGGCCACAAAAAATGGGGTGCACCGGCATGGATCATGGAGGTGCGAGCCACCTCCATGACCAAACCGATGCGTCGCTCAGCGACCCCATTCTGCTGTGGGGAGTTCGGTAGGGTGAACGTCTGGGTGATGCCCTCCGCACGACAAAAGCGACCAAGGACACCTGAGGCAAACTCGCCACCACGGTCTGAGTGAAGACGCAAGACAGGGAGACCGCGGTGGACAAGCGCAGAGACAAGCCAGGGGATGAGAGCTCCAGGCACGTCGGCCTTGCGCTCCAGGGGAAAGACTGTGGTGTAACGAGTGAAGTAGCGCTCTCGACGCGGCCCATGGACGGGGGCGGGGCCCCAGACGTCCAGGTGCAGGGTCTGCAGCGGCGCGGCGGTAGGGGGAAACGAGGAGGAGTGAGGGGAACGGCGAAGCCGACCCTTGACACAAGGCGCGCAAGGTGGGGCTGGGGAGGAGGGAAACGCGGGGAGGGAACCTGGGAGACCAAGGACAAGACCGTGCTGGGACATGTGACGCAGACGCGGGAGTGCAGGGTGACCTAGGCGGTGGTGCCAAAGGAGGGTCTGGTGAGTGAGGGACCGACAGGAGCAGGCAGCAGCAACCTGGGTGAGCGCTCCTGCCGGGGGGGTCACGGTGTCCAGAGTGAACAGGCCGGACACCGGGTCCCGGGGGAACGTGGACAGGGGGGCACCAGTGGCGGCCTCGGTACAGACAGCATACCGCTCGTGACCAGGGAACGTAGTGGTGACGCCAAGGTCCTGGAGGCAGCTGACACCAACTAGGTTCCTGGAGAACGAGGGGATATGCAGACCTGTGAGAGAGCCCGAAGGAACCGCCGGACAGGGAAGGGTGGTGGAACTGCGGGCGACTACCGGACCGCCTGAGGGGTCAGCAAGAGAAACGGCAGCTGGGACAGGAAGCGGCGTCAGGGTGGTGGAGTCGCGGAAGAAACACCGAGAAGCGCCAGAGTCCAAGGTGAAGGAAAGCGAAGCAGAGGCGTCTGGCGACGGAACGACGGCGGAAGCACCAAGACTACACAGAGCAGGGGATCCTACGCCTGACGCAGCAGGGGAGGCTAAGCTAGGCACACCTACACTAGGCAACAGTGAGTAATAGGCGGGAAGCACACTAGAGTCAGCAGCATACATCACATGCAGAGCAGAAACAATGGCATCCATGTCCATATCAAAAATCTGAATGTTACGACTAAGCAAACTGTGCCAGTCCGGGAGGTCTGGCGACGGGCCGAAGCGCTGACGAAAGAGGTCGTCCAGGCGACGAAAACAGCGGGGAGTGGAGTGACCGATCTTACCGCAGACGAAGCCGCGGCGAGGACCGGTCTAGATCTGGTACTGACAACGCACGCCTCCAGAACCACCACTCGGCACACCACCACGCGCCCGACCACCGCCTGCGCCGGGCCACCCTGGCGGGAGAACACTCGTCTGCCGCGTCTGCGACGGCTGCTGCGGCTGCTGCGAAGGCTGCGACTGCGGCGGCTGCTGCGGCTGCTGCAACTGCAGGGGCGGCGACTCAGCTGGACTGGGCAGGGTCCCCTCGTCCGCTCCAGCACCAGGCGACCGGACCCCACCACTACCCCCGCCCGCACCCCCGCCGCCCCCTCCGCCGCGCCCAGCCTTGGGGCGGCGGCCCTTCCCAGAACGGGCCTGCGCTGCAGCAGCAGTCTCAGCCACTGCGGCAGAGCCGTCGGAGAAGGTACACTGGGCGGGGGCACAACCCTGAAAGATAGGGACCGGCACGACACCGCTCGCCTGGGCGATGGAGCGGTGACGGGTCTCGATCACAGTCAGGGTGTCTACAAAGTCAGTGAGGGTGAGGTCTGCGGGGTGAATGCTAAGGAAGCGGTCGCGGGCGACAGCAAGGCGGTCAGGGAGGTGGGTGGCAAGCAGGTAGAGGGTAGAGGTAATGGGCGGCTGGTGGGCTCTAAGCTGTGCGTCAGTGCAGGCTGCGCGCCAGGTCTCATCTATCGAGCGCAGGTGGGCAGCGAGGTCAGAGACAGTGGGGAAAGATGCAAGGTCAGGAAAGAGCATCGGGAGGATCAGGCGACCCACCGAGGCAGCCGGAGGGGTGGAATAGTGCTGGATGACAGCATCTAAGTATGCCTGAGCAGTAGTGATAGACCTAAAGCGAGGGCACTCGGACGGGGGAAGGTCGTTGCTAATGGCAAGCTGGGCGACAGCATCGCGAGAAAGCCAGACAGAGCGCGCACGGGCAGTGGCAGCAGTGGACTCGTGCTCAGTGGGTGTGGAGTCAGCGGGCAGAATAGCAGGGGGGTCTGGGCAGGGGAGCGTACCGTCAAGGTGTGCGGAAAGCGGTTCACCATCCTGCCGCTGGCCAGTGAGTTGGCGACGGAGGTCGGCAAGCCACGCCTCGAACTCCAGGGGCTGGCCTTCAGCGTCGAAGCGAAGCTCCGCCGCCATCAGGAACAGTGCAGTGCGGTGCAGGGCAGTGCAGCAAGGTGGAGTGCGGTGCCGTGCGGTACAGTGCGGTGCAGTGCGGTGACAGGCAGGACAGGGTGGTGCGGGGCAGTGCAGTGCGGGGCAGTACCAGTGAGGAGGACCGGGGCCGGGGCAGGGACGAGAGCAGGGGCCGGGCCGGTGCAACGGGGCCGGGCGGGTGCGACGGGGCCGGGTGGGCGCGACCGGGCCGGGCTGGTGCGACGGGGCCGGGCGGGCGCGACGGGGCCGGGCTGGTGCGACGGGGTCGGGCGGGTGGGTCGGGGCCGGGCTGGTTCGACGGGGCCGGGCCGGTGCGACGGGGCCGGGCGAGCAGGACGGTGGCCCAGGAGGGGCGCACCGGGGCTGGGCGGGCGCGACAGGGCCGGACGGGTGCGACGGGGCCGGGCGGCTGCGACGGGGCCGGGCAGGGGGCGACGGGGACGGGCGGGTGCGACGCGGCCGGGCGGGCGTGACGGGGCCGGGCTGGCGCGACGGGGCCAGGCGGGGGCGACGGGGCCTGAAGGCGTGACGGGGCCCAGGAGGGGCTCGACGCGGCCCAGGAGGGGCGCTACGGGGCCCAGGAGGGGCACGACGTGGACCAGGAGGGGCGCTACAGGGCCTAGGAGGGGCGCGACGGGGCCTAGGAGGGGCGCTACGGAGCCCAGGAGGGGCGCGACGGGGCCTGGGAGGGGCGCGACGGGGCCCAGGAGGGGCGCTACAGGGCCAAGGAAGGGCGCGACGGGGCCCAGGAGGGGCGCTACGGAGCCCAGGAGGGGCGCTACGGAGCCCAGGAGGGGCGCGACGGGGCCCAGGAGGGGCGCTACGGAGCCCAGGAGGGGCGCGACGGGGCCTGGGAGGGGCGCGACGGGGCCCAGGAGTTGCGCTACAGGGCCCAGGAAGGGCGCGACGGGGCCCAGGAGGGGCGCTACGGGGCCCAGGAGGGGCGCGACGGGGCCCAGGAGGGGCGCTACGGAGCCCAGGAGGGGCGCTACGGGGCCTGGGAGGGGCGCGACGGGGCCCAGGCAGGGCGCGACGGGGCCCAGGAGGGGCGCTACGGGGCCCAGGAAGGGGCGCGACGGGGCTAGGGGGGTCGCGACGGGGCTAGGGGCACGACGGGGCTAGGGGGGGGGGGGGGGCGAGCGGAAGCGGTAGGTGGGGGGGGGATCCTACCTACGCGTGATACCATATCATAATTGGAGAAGAGAATGAATGACTAGTGAGAGAGAACAGAAAGATATACCTAAGAATTGTACCCTCTAAGAGGTGACCCTATACAGTCTATACAAACATAACGACTACACATGTTTGACATCTCTTCCCATATGTTTCCATACTCCCCCTTCCCCTCCGTTTCGCTCTCCCCCTCCCCTCGGTTTGATTCCCTCCCGTTTTTCCCCCCATTTTTTATTCCCCCTCGTGTTGAAGGCAACCCTGAACGAGTTCGGTAAACCCTGGGATTTTCAGGGTTCCATATTTCTGAACACTTACAAATCAGGGTAGGCATTTTTTGAAAACTGAGCCCTCAGGGTAAATTGTTTTTTTAGTCGACAGCTCAGGAGGGATTTTTTTGAAACGTCAGGCCTGCACTCGACATCAATCGCTCTCAACCAAAACCAGCTGGCATCGAAATTTTACTGAGCAGATTCGCGTTTGTCTGAAAATCTGCTCGTTTGAATTAGATTTTAAAACACGCCCCTCAATCTCGGGAAGTCGAATCTCACTTCGCACTTCGCGAAATCGCACTAAAACATTTCGCGTCGAAATTTGCGACACTGGAGCATCCGAGTCTGGGAAGAGGTTTCTTGGGAAGAGGCTGGTAGGAACACGCTGTAACCCCCTGGCCCAACGGTTTCAGTTCCCCCTTCCCCAAAAATTTTGATTCCCTCTTCACCCACAATTTCGATTCCCTCTTCCCCTGACAATTTCGATTCAAACTCCCCTTCCCCCGACAATTTCGATTCCCCCTTCCCCCACATTTTGATTCCTCCCTCCACGCAATTCGATTCCCCATTTCGATTTGGGCGGTCAAGAATCAAGATCCTCTCGACGCGCAGCGACTTGATATTTCTGCCCGGTTTTCCAGTGCTGATGGTGGTTGACGTGTGACTTCATCCTGCCCGCTTTTTGCAGCTGAGCGGACCTTGTAAGACAGGAACAAATACAGTTTTTAAATGAATAAAATTATGTAAATTTGCATGTCAGCAAAACGGGTGCTGGCAAAAATGCACCGTATCATAAGCTCCCCCCGTAATAACCACCCATGGAGTGACTATTTCGGCGGGTGTTATATACGGTGGATTACGGTAAAAAGTCTGCAATTTGGGGGCCTGGTCCAGACTTCTGAAGCCCTGGTTGCCACGTAGCTAGCTGCTAGCCAGTTCGACATCACAACATATTTGATCATTAACCATCATATTTCCTGCCCATCTCACACCAAGATCATGCTGTTAACTAGCAGTTGTGTCCCTGGCAACAACCTCCCCCAGCAGCTTCTGGAACTCGCTAGGCAGCTCCGAAACGCTCTGCTATTATGCTGGAGCAATCTCTTACCACGGAATCTCCTGCCCATCCCACGCAAAGAACTTGCCGTTATCAGCAGCAGTGATCCGGCCAACAACCCCCAAAAGCTTGTGGGCGGCAAACTCTCGCGTGAAGAGCTTTCCGGGTGGCACGGCCGTCTGGAAGGGTTTGGACAGATCTGTATCAACTGTTCCTGGGTGAAGGAGGACGGCAGAGACTGGCTGCTTCTTCGCTGCCAGCTCTATGGACATGGTGCGCACCACTGCAGGGGGGGAGGGGATGCCAAGGGATGTGGTGGGTTATGACAGGGCGAGAGTGAGAGGGTGAAAAAGATGGCAGAAACTGGCTGCTCCTCCACTGCAAGCTCTATGGAAAATGTGCAGACCACTGGAGAGGGGAAAACGGGAACAGGGTGGCAGGGAGAGGGAGGAAGAGCGATGCCAAGGGGGGTGATGGGGCGTGGCAGGGAAAGAGTGAGTATGGCGAGGACGGAAGAAACTGGCCACCTCTTTGCTGCTAGCGCTATGGGCATGGTACCCAACACCACTGGAGAGGCAAAAAGGGGGAGGAAGGGGTGTGATGGGATGTGATGGGGTGTGATGGGATGTGATGGGGTGCGTTGGGAGCAGCATGAGAGTTCAGCAGAGGATGTCAGAAAACGGCTGCCTCTTTGCTGGTAGTTCAATGGACAATGTCCCAACTCCTGGGGGGTAGGGGGGTAGAAGGGGGCGTTGGGGCGCAATGGGATGCAGGGGTTTGTGATGGACTCAAACGCGAGAGAGAAGCGGGGAGAGGGGAGAAGAGGGGAGAAGGGCGAAGCAGGGAGAGGGGAGAAGCAGGGAGAGGGGAGAAGCGGGGAGAGGGGAGAGCGAGATCTGGTACCTGACCCCGATGCTCCCTGCCTCCAGACTGCATGCAAGGGTGAGTGCAACAGCGATTCACGCTGATTCTGAGCAGCTTTTGAGTCACGGTACGAATGCCATCCTCTAATTCAGTCTGCTGTAGTGGAGGATGCACCGTCTGTTGATGCTAGCTGCCACTGCACCACTGATCTACCTATCTTTGCAGCAGTCCGACTCACGCTGGTTGAGAGCAGCTTTTGACGCGCGGTAAGAGTGCCAGCCTCCCAGTCTGTTGTCCCCGATGGAGGACACGCGCGCACTGATGCTGCCTGCTACAGCCACCTCCCTGCCGGCTGCCGCCCCTCCCCCTGCTGCCAACAACGGTGCCATGTGCTGTTAGCGAAGACATGGTGCGGAGGAAAGGCGGGGATAGCCAAGTGAGAGAACACAGAGAACACAAGATAGAGCAGCTTTAAATGCTTTTTTAGGAATTATCAAATAGACTCCAAAAAACGGGAGCAGGTGCTGGGAGGGAGGGCAGCAAGTGTGTCAGGGACGGGGGTTGTGACCAGACCAGAACCCACCTTGATCAGCAGCGCACGCTCTCTGGCCCCATGGCGTTGACCTGAGCTGACCCTTCTGACCCGTCCTCACCTTGATCACCAGCGCTGGTCCCATGGCGTTGACCTGGAAGCTTGTCAGCATGGCCTGTGGCGTGAGTGCCTTCATGGACGTCTCTGAAGCGATGGTGGGATGGGGAAGCGAGGAAAAGGGGGGGAGAGGGGGGGGGGGGGGGGGGAACAGGGACAACGATTGAGAGACTGAAACGGAAAGCCTGCGAGTATGGCATATGGCGTGAGTGCAGCATGGCCAGCATGGCATGTGGCGTGAGTGCAGCATGGCCAGCATGGCATGTAGCGTGAGTGCTGTCACGGAGGTCTCTGCAACTGTGGGAAGGGAAGGCGAGCGAGTGCGCGAAGGAAAGGGGAAACAGGAGAGGAAGAAAAGGGGCAGAGATCTTGCGAGGTGTAGGGTTCGGGCCGGTGCCCGCCCACCCGCCCACATGTGGCTGCCACCTGCTCCTGTTGTGTTTACCCGATGCTATGATACCAGACGCCATGAAAGAACAGCCAGCCACCTATCTGGCTCATAGCTCCAGGTGTGCGATGAAGACCGGGTGCATTGATGAGGAGGCTGCGGTGGGGGAGGTGCCCCCATGTGCCTGGTCTGGTGCCCCCATGTGCCTGGTGCCATCATGTGGCTGATACATGCTCGGATTGTGCTTTCCCAATACCCAATACCATATGCCACGCTTCACCATATACTATGCACCACCCACGTGGCTTCATGGTTCCAGGCATATGCAGGAGGCAAGATGTGTTGACGAGGAGATTCAGCTGCCTCCAACCCCATGTGGATAATGGATGATACTGTTGTGGTTCCCCAACACCAGTGTATTTTGAGTCGTCTGAAAATTCAACTGGATGGTGGATGCGACTGTTGTGGTTCCCAGCACCGCATAGCATAAGCCACCCACCTGGCTTCATGGTTCCAGGCACGTGCAGGAGGCCAGATGCGTTGATGAGGAGGTTGAGGTGCCCCCATGTGGCTGCTACATGCCTCGCTGCTCCCTGTTGTAGCGCCCCTGCGCCATCACACATCACATTGCATCGCATGGCATGGCATAGCATCGCATCACATCACATCACATCGCATCGCATCACATCCACATCGCATCACATCCAATTCACATGCATGCGTGCATGCCATCCCGTGTACGTGACACATGCACCACGCCCCCACGCCACAGACACAGAAGGACAAACGAGTTGGGCCATGCAGGAACAAGCAAGACCACAGCAGAACAAAAAAAGGCGTAACGTGTCCCTGACCGACCTCCATAGACGCCTGTCGATCACACTTAGGGGAGAGTGGCCACACAACGCACAACTGCATCCCTATAAATGACTCACCTCAATCGACGACTCGTCGGTCACATCCAACGGTCAACCAATACCCACTGCCCCTCCACGGCTCCCGCAACTGTCCTGCTGCTACAGCATCAAACAGCACAGGCTCGAAGGGACTCCAGCACACCACAGCGCGACTCTGACCCACCTCGATGGAAGCCTCGTCAGTCACATCCAGCGGGAAAACGGTCAGCCGGTCCCCACTGCTCCTCTGCAGCTCCCGCAACGGCGCTGCTGCAGCCGGATCACGACACGTGGCGATCACGTGGCTATCAGCGCTCCTCTGGAGCAGCTGCCGAGCCTGTCAAGAGGGGAGTCATAGTCCAATTGGGTCGTCACGCCACTCCACCACCGTCAAGAGAGCCAGAACCTGTCGACCCCCGCCTCAGCGAGAGAGTGTGTATTTCGAGTCGACTCAAAATACGCCTGCCGAGAGGGGAATCATCAGCCAATCGGATCGTCACTCCGCCACTCCACCATCACCATCACCATCACCACCACCATCACCACCACCACCACCACCACCACCACGGGAATCAGAACCCAGGAGCGGCCCGCCTCAGCGAGGGTCCGCTGCGTGGCTCGGGTAAGCTCCCGTTTGCCCAGGGGTAAGGGCGCGGGGTGTTACGATCACACCAGAAGCCGAGCATGTACTAAGATACATCCATTATGCAGAGCGGGAGAAAGGACGGAGTCGCTTACCAGCTCCAGCCCGATGCCTCGCGACGCTCCCTGCACGAGCGACACCTCCTTCGCCGTCGCACTGCCGTCGCGAACCGTCGCAAACAATCGACATGGAACACCATGCGACCTAGCGTGTCTGGCCGCCGTCCCAATAGGGCTCGGGGGAACGGCACCCGCTAGAGCGGCGAAACGCAAACCAGCTTCGCTAATGGACCGAGAATTTTTTTCGCTAAACGATCGCAAACCAGCTTCGTTGATGAAAAATGACGGCGGGGCACCAACGGTGCGCGGGAAACGGCCAGCGGCGACGGATTCGGGAGCTAATGGAACGCGCGCGGCTCGGCTAGAAGAGAAACCGAGCGTCGATAAACCAAGGTGCTGCTGAGAAGCGGAACTCGCAGTTGAGACGCGAAACGCCGCGGACGATGTGAGTCTAAGAGCAGCCATGGCGTGCATTACCGTGCAGCGGCAGGCTCTACTCGAAGTAGAATAGTAGTTCCTGAGCGAGTTGCAAAACAACCTCTAGACCTCGCCATGCATAGCAAAACTCACTGCACAAATTGTTGGTTAGAGGCCGAATTGTTGGTCCTGCCACGCTACGCCCAACTCGAGGTGGGATAGCAGACACGTATGCTGGGGAGCCATTGATTGTGCCGTGAGAATGACTCCACGTTACAGTACACCTTTTTCACGCTATGGTCCTCAGACGAAAAATCCAAATTGCAATTCCGACAGATCTTGTCACACCTAGGGTCCCAATTGCAATTATCGTCTGCTCGTGTCCCCCTACGTTCAGTACCAAATACCAGGTACCGAGCTGAGCCGCAAAACCCCCCAGTCAAAAACTTAGGTTTTAAGAGGAGAGTTGGGGGAAATTCGCGAGACTCACGAAACGCAGCAAAGGAAGTGGGTTGGACGCGACAGGCAATGAAGGCCTCTCGAACAAAGCCCCACCTCGCCCACCATGAGAAGTGTCGCCAGCCCTCCCAGGCGACGAATTGGCACTACACGACGTCGCCCAACCCACACCAGCACACCCAGCGCCAAAATATGTCGTAAGAACACAAGGAAGCGCGGGAGCTAAAAGAAACAGTGAAAAAACTGGCCACGTGCAAGATACGAAATAAAACAAAAGACAAGCATGTAATCAACCTACAACCAAAAGTACACCGCGAATCAATAAAAATGCATGGGCTTGCATATTTGGTCCAGCACTATGGACACAAAGAAACAGAACTACGAATATAACACGGCGAGTCAAATCCCTTCTTGTTAGCACATGGGCTTATAAATTTCATTTCATAGCATACGCCTGTGAATTCCCCTAAAATCCATACTAGCGAATAAGCGCTAAAATTCTGGTGAAAATGGCACCCCCTGCAAGAGTTTATCCGTGCAGTAAAAGGAAGGGGGAAGGGGGAAATGGGAGGAGTGTGGGAGCAAGGGATGATGGGGAGATGGACAGAGAGATGGGCAGAGAGAGAGAGAGAGAGAGAGAGAGAGAGAGAGAGAGAGAGAGAGAGAGAGAGAGAGAGAGAGAGAGAGAGAGAGAGAGAGAGAGAGAGAGAGAGAGGGGGGGGGGGGGGGGGGGGGGGGGGGAGAGAAAGAGACGAACTCAAGAGATTTTGAGATAGGCTCGGGCTGAGCATGACTGTAGTGGGGAGGGGAGCAAGGTACTCAGGTTATGAGTGGAAGGGAGTTGGGGTAAGGACGAACAGATGGAAGGAGGGAACGGTGCAAGGAGGGGAAGGTGGAAGGATGGGACGGCCGAAGAAGGAGGAGGGAAGCATACCCAAAGGTCATGTCCCCCGGACAGCCGTGCTCGCCCTGAAACCAACAAAACGGGGGTGAGAAGGGAATCAGGGAGAGGAATGGAAGGAAATGGAAGACATGAGGGGGAGGAACAATGAAGAAGGGGTGAGAACTGGAGCAGGGACGAAGAACGAAAGCAGTTGGAGAATGGGAAGGGGAGCAATGAAAGCAGGGGGAGAGAATGGGAGGGGGACCAATGAAAGCAAGGGGAGGGAATGGGAAGGGAAGCAATGAAAGCAGGGGGAGAATGGGAGGGGGAGCAATGAAAGCAGGGGGGGACAATAGGAGCAGGAGGGAGGAATGAAAGCAGAGGGAAGAAACAAAACGGGAAGAGAGGGAGGGGGATAGGTAAAGGAACTAGCTTTGAGGAGAAAATGATGGATTGAGTAGGGAGCCAAGAGACTCTATTGTACAAACATTGGAGCAAGGAAGAGATGGAGGGAAAAGTCTCCCATTGACCATAATATAGACCAATGGGAGAGGTAGCTTGGAGGACAAGCAACCACAAAGTGTGGTGCTCTCCGATTGGCCACAATGTGGACCAATGAGGGAGGTTGCTTGAAAGGTAAGCAACCACAAAGTGTGGTGCTTGATGATGAGTTGGGTCTTGGGACCAAGGACCATTTGGTTGGAATAGTGCCAACCAAATGTCTAGGACCAAATCCAATCTTGACCAACCCAAATGTGGGGTTAGTCAACCCAACCAACAACCCCCCAATAAATATAATGACTACACCTCCTGATCTAGGCATGCATGTTGAATAGATATATATTTTACAACAATAGGAGGGGAGGGGAAGGGGGAGATGAGAGAGGGAGAAGAGGAGAAGAAGAGAGGGGGAAGCGGAGAGGAGAAGATGGGGAAGAGGAGAGGGAGAGAGGGGGAAGCGGAGGGGGAGAGAGGGAGAAGCGGAGAGGAAGAGAAGGGGAAGCAGAGAGAAGGAGAGGGGGAAGCGGAAAGGAAGAGGGGGAAGAGAAAGAGGAAGAGAGAGGAAGACGCTGAGATTGAGGCAATGAGAGGGGCACAAAAAGGCACAAAATTTGCCCTCACTCTCTCTGGCTTTTCTCTCGGAAGGCTGCCAGCTCCTGCGAGAAAGGGGGGTGGTTGGTTGAGGGAGGGTGCCGATAACGAGGGAAAGGCATGGGTGCTGGGGGCGAGCATGAGTGCAGAGGCAAAGGTCATTTCTCTTTCCCCCTACGGTCCTCTTTCATTCCCCCTACAGTCCTCTCTCCTTCCCCTTCCCGCCAACTCTCTCCTTCCCCTATCCGCCCTCTTTCCTTTCCCTTTTCGCCCTCTATCATTTTCCTTCCCGTCCTCTCTCCTTCCCCTTCCCGCCCTCTCTCTCCTTCCCCTATCCGTCCTCTATCCTTCCCCTTTCCACCCTTTCTCCTTCCCCTGTCTGTCCTCTCTCCTTCCCCTTCCCGCCCCCTCTCTCCTTCCCCTTCCCGTTCTCTCTCCTTCCCCTTTGCCACCTCTCTTTCCTTCCCTTATCCGTCCTCTATCCTTCCCCTTCCTGCGGCTGCAACTGCGGCTGCGGCGGTTACGCTGGCGGCTACCCTCGCACGCAAGTGGGCGAGCAGCAGACAGCGAGCAGCGTGCGGCGCGCAGCGGGCGGCTAGTAGCGGGCGGCGAACAGCGAGCGGAGCGCAGTGGGCGGAGCGCAGCGGGCGGAGCGCAGCGGGCGGAGCGCAGCGGGCGGAGCGCAGCGGGCGGAGCGCAGCGGGCGGTGCGTAGCGGGCGGGGAGAAGCGGACAGTGGGCAGCGCGAGCAGCGGGCGGCAGTGGGCAGAACGAGGAGGGGACAACGGCCAGCGGCAACGGATAGTGCGAGCGCGAGCAGCGAGCAGCACGGATAGCGGCCGGCGCAAACAGTAGGAGGACTGGTCGTAACGAGAAGGGTAGGAGGACGGTACGATTTTAAATCACATGCTACGGGCAATTTTTTTCGCCAGACGACGCGGATCCAAGGCAAGAGTGAGGCGGGAGGGTGCGTGTACTCCTTTGGCGCTGCGTATTCGCCGCGCCACGAGAGTTTCTACTGGAAACGTTCTTAAAAAATGGTTTAGATCTAGTGTGTCTAGTTGCTTGGGCGATCTAGTCCCAAAACTACTTGATGGTCTAAGTTTTTTAACCTGGGAGGGGTAGGTGGGCGATGGATTAGAGGCGGGATTGTCGTAGGAAGGGGGTGTGTGTGGAGTGGGGGCCAATCAGTGGCGTTCGAATTGGATTTTGGGTTGCCGTCCGACAAAACGGATAACCTTGTAAACGGAGATGGGATCTCAAAAACTTAGGACTTGACTTTCAAGGGTGTTGGGATCCGCGCTTTAACCCCCAAATTCAAGCTGAAACGTTGGACATTTTGGCCGGGAGATACAAGTCGTATTCCTATAGTGCAAACTCCAAGAATTTTGGAAGAAGACACTTTGAGAATAAGGCGGTACGCTCCGGGAAAATTTGCTTGTAGCATTCCCAAAAAAGTAGGAGCGCTATCATATGCGAAGCTGTCAGGGGTGGGGACGATGTCGTATGCGCAGCTGAGAGGGGTGAGGACGCTGTCGTTAGCTACGGCAGGGTCGACGTAGGCATGTCGCGAGGTGTTCGCATGGCGTATCCTCTTTGGGTTTCAGGTGCGCACGCTAATTGATGCGTTGATATAAGAACAAAAAATATATTTGGCTCCTAGCTCTCAATTGATTATATGAAGTTGGAAACACCAAATAACAACGTTAAACAACGATGAAAAAAAAAAAAAAAAAAACCACCATTTCAAAACTACGGCACACGTCGACTATGAGGGGTACGTTGCGGGACTTTACATGATTCTGGCATCACAGATGGCGTGCATTTATTGGCTCGCGTGGTGTTTCTGGGTCAGCCCGTAAGTGGATGGATCGCAACGGTGCTATTATTTTACGTTTCTGACATATTGTGATTGCAATTTGGTGTCGACCACTCAGGAGCGCATTGACGTGTATTACACGATTTCTAATGGTAGAGTCAATTTTTTTACATATTGTTTGCACTTGTTTTTATTGGCCGGATTGCGTACACGGGTGTTGCACCTACGGAATAATCGCACCTGCAAATTTTTTGCGCCTGTCGTCGTTGCACCAGTCGCACATGCTATGTACTGTGCATTTTCCGGGCTAATGTCATGTTTGCCGGTGTTCTAAAATTTATGGAGGACAAGCTCGAGTCGCGTGAAAATTTATTGTGAAGAAGCTGTACAAGCATTGATACCCGCTAAAGCATGCCTTCTAAACCGACCCCGCTTACCAGCCTATCTATCCATGTGTGCTGATTCCTGCATTTTCTCTTTTGTGAATTAAAAACACCTTTTGTACGCTAAAAAAGATGAGTTTTTTTCACGCCACTCGGACTTGTTCCTCAGAAAATTCAAACCACAGGCAATCGGGACATTAGCCCAGAAAATGCACAGTAACTCTCAGGCCTTTTTTTTTTTTTTTTTTTTTTTTTTTTTTTTTTTTTTTTTTTTACATTTCGGGTTGAATTTGGGGGTTTATGCGGTTCAGCTTGGTACCTGGTGGTTGGGACTGAACATAGGGGGACACCAGCAGCCGAGAATTACAGTTGGGACCCTAGGCGTGACAAGATCAGGCGAGAATTGCAATTTGGACTGTTCGTCTGAGAACCATAGCGTGGAACAGATGAACTGTAGTGAGGTGTACACATGAGCGTGGCATCGCTGAAGTGAAGGCATTGCGCTGACGTTATCACTGCTGGCGAGTGAGGCCAGGAAACGCCACCGAACCACATTTCTCGGGAATCCGTGTCAGACGCCCCACTCACTGTGTGGTCCGCCGAACGTCGCCACGTCAGCCGGAATGCCCTAGGTTCTGGGCTGGGCTCGAATCGAATGAACCCCTCCGCACAATCGCGTCTCGAGAACACAAACCCACCAACCTCGAGACGAAAACTCCCATTCCTTCAAACCCATTTCATTCACGCCAGCACATCCCATACCAACCTTCTCTAATCCGTGAAATCCCACTTTATCACACTTCACTACACCCCATCGCACACCGTCACTCTGTTGTCACAGCATGAGCCCTCCTCTGTCCCCAACCAGCAAGCCATTCCGTGCAGGAAGGAATTCAGGCTCCACAGGAGACCGACTTCTAGGCTTGAGACCTCGTTGGCTGAGGAGTACATATTCCAGCTTCCCGAGGTGGACTCTTTTTCTCACCTTCATTGATTTTGCTGAAACAAGCTTCTAGCTTGCTCTATCACGACGTCGTTCTCCTGGCGACCTTAGCTCGCGTAAAACCAGCTTTCTCCGTATTGCACCTGGAGTTTATGATAGGCACCGCGTAGTGGCTGTCTCCTAGAGTCTTGCTTTCCGAAGAGTTGCTTCGCAATGGCGCCGACAGCAGAGTACGTTCTCTCACCTGATGATACGTTCTTTGTTTGTCAGATACTTTGCGCATAGCAAAACGCTTGCCTTGCCTCTAAAAAACTGCAGATGTTCACTCAGCTGTCTATATACATTACAGCAGTGATTCCTCTGACCCGTTTTCTTCTCGAACCCGGAATTTCTCCAGAAATGGCGTCATATCGCCGCTTTTCACGCTGGAAGAGGACCCTGAAGCTCTAGTGTTTGCTCACCAAGAGAAAAACCGCAAACTCTCCCCTCCCATTTCAGCCTGCTTCTTTGGTAAGACGTCACGGTCAAGCCCTGGATAGCCGTAGCCGTTTCTGGTAGGCAATCAACCAACGACCACATGATGCGTGGATCAATCACTTCGTATACTGCATCTTGGCTACGGGTATGGCCGTACAACACGGCCGAAAAACAGCATCACAGAGAGTGGATTTACGTGCCCTGGCGAAGTTGGTTGCACGTTTATTGTTTTTTTTTATGTGCGTTTCGTTCTCTGCAGATCTGGATGACACCTTGTACCCTAGAAGTTCTGGTCTCGCCTCGGCCTGCGTGAAGAACATTGAAGGTCCGGCAATACTATCTTGAGTCGGGTGTATAATATCTCCTGCACATTTAGTGGACACCGCCTGATATCTCGCAATATTCTGCGGCTGCCATTGTTGCTATGCTTTTCCAGCTCTCTTAGTAAACGTGAATGGGCTTTCCTGCATCACATTGTTCCGCCATTGTTCTGCCATTGGGCTTTCCCTTATTTCTCTGTTCTCACTCACTACTCTCTCCTCTCTCTTCTCGCTCAGACTACATGGTGCAACGCCTGGGCTTCCCAGCAGACACGGCAGGCGAGGAGGCCATCAGGCTGTACACGGAGCACGGCACCACCATGGCTGGACTCCGGGTGAGCCTCATCCCTCTGACCGAATGCAAGCTTGTTGGGCTAAGAGCTGCTGGGGTTGCCTGGGTGTACAGCTGGCAAGGAGGCCATCAGGCTGTACACGGAGCATGGCACCACCATGGCTGGACTCCGGGTGAGCCTCATTATTGGCCAAATGTAGGCGTGCTGAGTGTAAAAGCCGCTGGGATTGCTTGAGAATTCAGCTCCGCCTAGGGCGACGCCTGCTGAATTTGATGTGCTTTCCAGCAGATGTGTTTGATCCGATGAGTTCTCCATTCTTAATCCGTGCTGCATTGAATCCACACTCGAATCCTTTCTGCAGGCGGAGGGCTACGCCTTTGATTTTGACGACTGGCATGCGTAAGTGTTCATTGCTCGAGTAGCAAGCACGACAACTAGCATCTCAAACTCGTCTAACAAACAGTGTGCGCCTCTTACATCATCAAACCATCGACAACAGTATTCTGTCCATTTCCAGCTTGAATCTGCAGTACTGATCTTCAGCCTGCATCTACTCACCACATCTTCTTGCATGAGCCAGTCTCCTGCACTTTCCCTTAACATGTTCGACAACATCTCCCCATCGTGCATGCACGTGCGTTTGGCTGCTTCTCCTTCCCACCAGTTTCGCCCACAGCCGCCTACCGTGTGTACCCCACCTTAAAAGAGCTGCTGGAGTCACGCCCTGTACTGAAATTTTGTAATCTATCCTCTGTGCACGTGCTTTGGGCTGTCCTTCCCCTTTCCCAGCTTCGTCCACGGCCGCCTGCCGTACCACCTGCTAAAGCCAGACCCGGCATTGAGAGAGCTGCTGGAGTCGCTTCCCCACCGCAAGATTGTGAGTGTTCCAGGATGGAAGGACCATCAGTGCCTGGGTAGAATCAACGGATCATGAGTGCCTGGGGGTGGAAGTAGCAGCAGCGTTGCCATGTTCTCCTTGCTGCCTCTTTTCCACTCACGGAATCCATCAGTCTTGCTCTCCATCTGAGATAGCGCCTGGTCGCACCCCGCTCGTCACGTCCCTCCTCTCCCTTACCGATTGAATGCTCTTTGTTGCCTCCCACCTCTGTGGTCCCCATCCCTATCCGCCCACCTTGGCCCGTCACACCATTTCCTGCTGCTTACCCTGTCACAGTCTGCATACAAGCTACCACTTCTGGCTGCTATAAGGAACAGGGACGCATTCTGAGCCCACCTAGACATGAGGAAGGTGTTCACCCGTGAACCCCCATAAACTTCCTGCACCCGTGACCACCCCACACAGGTGTTCACTAACGCAGATCGCGCCCACGCCAGTCGCTGCCTGCGCGTGCTCGGCCTGGAGGGCTGCTTCGATGTGGTCATTGCCTTGGAGGACATCATGGATCAGCGGCCCTCTCGACCCTTCTCCCACCGAAATGTCTTCTTCGCCCCTTCTACGAGCACTTCTGCCCCTGACAGCACACCCGCATCTGAAACTATGCAGGTCTCTGTCTCTGTATCTGCCTACCGCGTGAACCCACCATCCTGCCTGCCTCCCATTCCCTCCTCCTCCTCCACTGCTTCCCTTCCCTCATCTGCCCTCCCAAGCAATCGCAACAGCAGCAGCAGCTCTCCAGAGCACCCGGCTCACAGCAGTAGCCAGGATCAGCAGGTGCAGGAGGACCAGGCGCATCAGCCACACAGGAATCAGCAGCAGGAAACAAGGCAGTCCATGCTTGAGCAGATGAGCCTTCCCCGGGTACCACCTTTCCAGTGCGCCAGCCGTCGCTGCATCAGTGTGGATGGGCTCCTGGAGCATGCTGCTGCACACCCGCTTTCAGCAGATCCTGCTGCTGCTACTTCTGCTGGTGCGATCGGTTGTTGTGATGCTTGTGGAATGCGGAGAGCAACAGTGCCGGCAGCAGGGGCAGCGCCAGGTGCAGCAGACGGGAAAGCAGCGCCAGCTCCTCACACACCACAGGAGAATGCACGGGACTGTGCAGGGAGCTCCCTGGCATCTGCTGCGTCATCGTGGCTCAGTCCCGCTGGTGCACTCATCTGCTGCAAGCCCCAGGCAGAGGCGTTCCACCGGGCCGTGATTACCATTGCAAGCGCCAACCCACTCTCATCGGTACGTGTACCTTTGTCGGGGCTATTTCTCAGATATATGAGCATTCTTGAGGGTGTTGTGAGGGTGCATGAGCGCGATGCATGTGGCTGTCTTTCTATGCAGGGGCTGTCATCTTGGATGCTGCATGCTTCTTGCCTTTTCATAACTGTAAAAACTCGACAACCCTTTTTCTTTCTGTCGCATTTACGTGGCCCTGCATGTTCCGCTGCAGATCATGTTTGATGACAGCACACGTAACATTGCAGCAGCCAAGAATTTTGGCATGCAAACTGTTCTGGTAGGTGTTGTTTGGCTGCGAACTGATTTATTTTGTGTCCTTTCACTCATTCCAGAATCACACTTCCTGCTTTTCCTTACTCCATTCTGTGCCAAGGCCACCCCTTGTCTGCCTTTTGTTGCAGACTTCGCAGGTTCAGAGCTGTTACCCCTTCCATCATGCACAAACCTATTCTCTACATTATTGTCTCTGCATATGATTCCATGGCCATCCATGACCTGCCTGTATTGCAGGTTGGAGCATCCCATCGCTCTCCTGGTGCAGACCACGTTATCTCAGACATCCATGAAATGAAAAGGCGCATCCCGGCCTTGTGGAAACTGTCTGAAAAGAGCGTGGCAGAGACAGTGGGCGAAGATGTTTTAGAGTCCCCATGCATGCATCATCAAAATCGAAGTCTGGGCCTTGTGTTGGCATGAACATGATGTCAACTTATACATATGTTGTATGTAGAAGTTATAGGCTAGCCTAGGTGTGTGCTTCTAGAGAGTACAACCCCAACAGGTATATGTTCTAGGTTTCTCACACTAGTCAATTATTCTTGCATTCTAACATGGTATCACGAGTAGGTTAGGTCCACCCTCTCAAAGGAAAACTGAATAATAATTGACTAGAAAGAATTGTACAAGGACATATATCTAAGGGTTGTACTCTCTAAGAGATGACCCTATACAGTCTATACAAACATTGTAGATAAACATGTTTGACACACCCCCTAGACTGCATAGGGGCAGGTTCTGAACAAGCAGCTCAGGGCGGCACTACTAGTCCAGCCTCTGAGACAAGGGTCTAAAGACCAGTCAAAAGGAGTACAGACAAGACAAGAACAAGACCAGGACGGCACTACTAGTCCAGCCACTGGGAGAGGACACAAGTCCAGTCTGAGTACATATGCAGACATATATAGAATAGTACAAGGTCAAGGTCCTAGCAAGTGAGAGGCTACAGGAACTAGACCGAGCTGTACACAGTGCCTCTGACGATCTTTAGGCGCAAGCGCCTTCGTAAAGATTTCAGCTGTGTTGGCACCAGAGGCCAAGTGAACTACGCGGGCCTGGCGACGCTGCTGTAGCTCGCGCACGAGAAAGTACCGCAGCTGAATGTGCTTCGCTCTGCCCTCAAGCCGAGGCTCCTGACACAGGAGAATCATGGCCCTGTTGTCAGCGTACAGGACCGGGGCAGAGCTAGGCCGCTCACCTAAGTCTGTGAGCAAGAAGGTCAGCCAGCGGAGCTCCTGTGCCGCCATGGCACCAGCGTAGATCTCAGCCTCACAGCTGGACTGAGCAACAGACGACGAGCGAGTGGATCTCCAAGAGATAGCACCCGAACCAAGGCTAAAGCAGTAGCCCTGCGACGACCTGAGCGTCTCAGAGTCGTCTGCCCAAGACTCATCTGTGTGCCCAGTGAGGACCACTAGCCTGCGTCCTCCTAACACCAACCCCATGCCGGATGTACTTGCTAGATATCGCAAAACCCTCTTAGCGGCCGACCAGTGCTATGGTCGGTGTCTGCCAGTGGCCACAAAGCGAGCCAGGATGCTGAGAGGGTACGCGAGATCAGGGCGAGTGCAAGTCATCAGGTACATGAGGCAACCCACCAGCTCTGCGTAGGGGCCGCTTGGCTCTACTGGCTCCTCAGGAACGGGAGCGGAGAGCCCGTGGTCTACGGGTAGAGGTGTGGGCTGTGTAGAGGAGAACTGAAGGCCGAACCTCTGAAGGACCTGACGCACCAAGTGTGACTGTGTCAGAGTGATGGTGCGTGCTGCTCTGTCCCTAGTGATCTGCAGGCCAAGATAGCGACGCAGCTCTCCAAGGTCAGTGCAGGTGTGTCTCTTCAGCAGCTCGGCCTTCACTGAGGCCAGTGCGTCCCTGTCAGCAGTAGCAAAGTCCAGGTCATCTACGTAGACAAGGATGTAGAACGGAGTCTGGCCGGACCGCACAAAAAGCGAGGGGTCAGAGGATGACGGAAAGAACTGCAGGACAGGGAAGGGACGTAGAACTGCGAGCAACGACAGGACCCGCAGAGGGGTCAGCGAGAGAGACGACAGCAGGTGTAGCAAGCGGCGTGAGCACGGAGCGGTCGCGGAAGAAGCAGGCAGAAGCACCGGAGTCGAGAGTGAACGACAGCGATGCAGTGGCGGAGGCCGGGAACGGGGCCGGTGCAGAGACTGGGCTAGGCAAACTAGGCAGTCCTACGCTTGACGCAGCAGGGGAAGCTATGCTACACAAGGGTGCAACACCTAAGCTGAAGAACACAGGATAATAAGATCCAGCAACACAAGCAGCGTCAGAATACAAAGCATGCAAAGCAGCACCTATCTGATCCATGTCTAACTCAAAGATCGGCACGCCCTGGCGGAGTAGGCTGTGCCAGTCAGGGAGGTCCGGGGCCGGGCCAAAGCGACGACGAAATAGATCGACAAGGCGGCGAAAACAGTGGGCAGTCGGGTGCGGGCGGCGACACAGAGTGCCGCGAAGAGGCCCGGTCTGAAGCTGGTACTGGCAGGTCACAGTACCGGAGCCGCTGGTAGACGCCGAGCTGCGCGGGCCGCCACCACGGCCACCACCTCCGCCGGTGCCGGGCCAACCAGGCAGGAGACGAGCCCACTGCTGCGGCGGCTTCTGCTGGGGCGACGGCTGCTGCTGGGACGGCGGCGGCGGCTCGGGCTGCTCCTGCTGCGGCGAGGGCTGCTGCTCCTGCCGACCAGTGGTAGTCCCAGCAGGCGGACTACCGTCACTACCACTAACACCACCACCACCACCTGCGCCACCACCCCGACCTCCCTGGCGACCACGGCCACTGCGGCGCAAGCGCTGCTCCGGGTGGACCGCAGCAGCCGTCTCGGTGGGAGGGGGCACCGTGGCGACCGCAGCCGAAACGTCAGTGAACGTGCACTGGGAGGGGGCACAGCCGTGAAAGATAGAGACTGCCGGCGCACCGCTCGACTGAGCGATAGTGCGCTGGCGAGTCTCGATCTCAGTGAGGGTGTCGACAAAGGCAGTGAAGGTGAGGTCTGCCGGGTGCTGGCTAAGGAAGTGATCGCGGGCACTAGCGAGGCGGTCCGGCAGGCGCATGGCGATGAAATAGAGCGTCATGCAGAAAGGAGGGGGGAGCGCAGTGAGCTGTGCAGCAGTGCTGGTAGTGCGATAGCGGGTCTCTAGGGTACGCAGGTGAGCGGCAAAGTCTGCGACGGTAGGGAAGGCTGCAAGGTCTGGGAAGAGCATCGGGAAAAGCAAGCGGCCAGCAGAGGCAGACGCGGGTGTGGAATAGCGGGCAATGACTGCGTCTAAGTAGGCTTTGGCCGTCACAATGGTAGCAAAACGCGAGCGTTCAGACACAGGGAGGGCGTGGCTAATAGCAACCTGAGCGACCGCATCGCGAGAGTCCCAGACCACACAGGCAAGTGCAGCAGTAGAAAAGGTCTCACGGGCATCAGGGGAGGGGTCAGCAGGGAGGGGAACGGGTGCAGGGTGGCGGGGGAGCAAACCATCGACATGGACAACCAAAGAGTGGCCATCCTGACGCTGACCTGTAAGGTGGCGGCGGAGGTCAGAGAGCCAGGCGGCGAAGTCAACCGCGTGGCCCTCGGCGTCCAGTCGGAGCAAGAAGTCAGCCATCGTGCAGGGTCAGCGGCACAGCTCCGCAGGAACAGGACGGCAGCGCCCTCCAACACGACGGCCGCAAAACGGCGCCCCAGCACGTGCGAGCAGGTACGAAGAGGCGCCGGCCGGTCAGGCACGGCGGGTGAGGCACGGGAGGTGTGGCAGAGCCAGGAGGTGCGGCAGGTCCGGGCAGGCGCGGCGGGGCCAGGCAGGGGCGGCGGGGCCAGGAGGCGCGGCAGGGCCAGGCAGGCGCGGCAGTGCCAGGCAGACGCGGCAGGGCCAGGCAGGCTCGACCGGGCCAGGCAGCGCGGCGGGGCCAGGAGACGCGGCAGGGCCAGGCAGGCGCGACGGGGCCAGGCAGGCGCGACGGGGCCAAGCAGGCGCGGCAGTGCCAGGTAGCACGGCGGGGCCAGGCAGGTGCGGCAGTGCCAGGCAGGCGCGACGGGGCCAGGAGACACGGCAGGGCCAAGCAGGCGCGACGGGGCTAGGCAGGCGCGGCGGGGCCAGGCAGCACGGCGAGAGCCAGGCAGGCTCGACGGGGCCAGGCAGGCACAACGGGGCCAGGCAGGTGCGATGGGGTCGAGGAGGCACGAGGGGCCCAGGAGGGGCGTGACTGGCTAGAAGGCGCTGCAGGGGCCCAGGGGGGGGCGCGACGGGCGAGGAAGCGCTACAGGAGCCCAGGAGGGGCGCGACGGGGTCTAGGAGGCACGATGGGGTCCAAGGGGGCGCGACGGGACCTACGGGGCACGAAGGGGGGCCCAGGAGGGGCGCGACGGGGCCTAGGCAGCGCGATGGGGCCCAGGGGGGCGCGACGGGGCCTAGGAGGCGCGATGGAGCCCAGGGGGGCGCGACGAGGCCTAGGAGGCACGATGGGGCCCAGGGGGGCGCGACGGGGCCTACGGGGCACGAAGGGGCCCAGGAGGGGCGCGACGGGGCCTAGGCAGCGCGATGGGGCCCAGGGGGGGCGCGACGGGGCCTAGGCAGCGCGATGGGGCCCAGGGGGGCGCGACAGGGCCTAGGCAGCGCAGTGGGGCCCAGGGGGGGCGCGACGGGGCCTAGGAGGAACGGAGGGGGTGGCGGGGCCTAGGAGGCACGGTCGGAAGCGGTAGGTGGAGGGGAACCAACCTACGGGTGATACCATCTCAAAGGAAAACTGAATAATTATTGACTAGAAAGAATTGTACAAGGACATATATCTAAGGGTTGTACTCTCTAAGAGATGACCCTATACAGTCTATACAAACATTGTAGATAAACATGTTTGACACACCCACCCGCTTCCGCCCGCGCCCTAGCCTCTCGCCCCCTAGCTAGCCCTAGTGCCTGCCCGACTCATGCTCGTCCTGTCTCTCTCGTGCTCGTCGCGTCTCTCCTGTCCTGCACTACCACCCTATGTTGCTTCGTTCCCAGTCGTCTCGTCCTCCCCTCCTCCCGTCGCCTCCTCCCTCGTCGCTTGTTGTTGCACCTCCCCCGCTATCTGACTACCTCTGTGCCGCTCGTCCTTTCGTCCCTCGGGTTCGTGCCTCTCTTGTTACAGACTCGTCTATTCCTGTCTCGTGCCTTGACGCGCTTGTCGCTGCTGTCGCTGACTTCACCTCTACCCGCCCCCTTGACTACGCTACCGCTCTGGTCTCTGACCCTGCCCGTCCTCCGTCCGTCGGGGGTGCACCTGCCCTTGGCAGTGACGTTCTAGAGGACAGGCAGTATGAGCTTGCTTTCCTTTCCGAGGCCGCTCCCCATCTCTGCTCCATGCTCCTAGTCCTAGAGGGTGACCCAGACGCCTTCGACATCCCGACCCCTCGCACTTACGCTGAGGCCACCTCGGGACCCTGGGCCTCTCAGTGGATAGCTGTCATGGAGCAGGAGATGGCATCTTGGAGGTCCACCGGCACTTACGTCGACGCAGTTCCCCCGCCTGGGGTGAACGTAGTCGATGGTC